CACTATCCTCCCATCACACGTGGCACCTGAGGGCCTGGGCGTGGTAATGGGGACTCGCGCTTCGTGGACGAACGCGAATCTCGATCTCAACACCGCAACATATTCTCATATTCTCGCAATGAAAACATGAACTGTCCACAAAAGCTGCTTCAGCGTGCTGTAAGTGCGGGACGACCGCATCCAGAAACGCATGGGCGGAGTGACAGCTTGAAAAATACTCAAAACGCACCCGTGTTGCAAAACTCTGCCAACCAAAGTGAAAAACTTGCATAAGTGCCGGAGGACACAGGGGAATGACCACAGCAACACTGAGACAGGAATGGTGCACGGAAGTACTTACTTTCTCTGACCTCAAACAGACGTCAGACAAACAAACACAAACAGAAATTTGGTTGCTGTGAAAACGGCAGATTAGAGCTCAAGCTCGCGATCACCGCTGCACTCGCGCTGGAAACACCGACACCTGGATAGACTTCCAGAAGCACGACACGCTCGCTTGTTGTATAACGACACTCTTCAGAAGACCTAAACATGAAGCTCGGGTCCGACGCGAAAGGCAAATGGTGCGTGCATCTACTTCCTTATTTATAGCTGCTATACATCTCTTACATTGCAATACATCTCGCAAGCCAATGTGCATTGGCTCTTTCGAAGATACTCAAAGACAATTGGCTCTCTAGCGTGATCCCATTTCAGTCAAGTTCTCGACTGAAAGGGAACCCAATATGCTGATGCACATCCGGTTTACACTCAGCTGTTTACTTTGACTTGATGTAACCGGCTGCATTGGCATGAATACTCCACACGATGGCCATTTTGACAATTGTGTGAGTCCATATAGGCCAGTGTGCAGTATTGGGAAAGTTCACTTTCTACATGAACTAGTTCAATTGTAAAACTAGTTCAGTTCATAGTTCGTACTTAAAAAAAAATTAACTAGTTCATTTCTAGTTCTTTTTTTCCATGTTACGAGCTTTTTTTATTAGGCTATTATTGCCACAGCCCATATAGCCCACAGACAACAATTATTTTATCGACGGGCAGTTTGCACAGAAATGTAAGATTTTTCCCATCCTCATCGACCTCGTCATAAAATCTGTTTAAATGATCATACGACGCCTTGCTCGCTGCTTTGTCGACGGCGGCCGCGGCGTGACACTGCTTGCTGGTGTTGCCAGATTGGGTGGTTTTTCTCTACATATTAAGGCTTGTTAACGTGTGCTTTAGCTGGGTTTTCTCCAAGAAGACTCTATAGAAATCTGGCACCCTACTGTACGAAGTTAAACGGAGAGCGTGCATTTACAGATACCAGGATGAACTAGTGTTGTCAAAAAACTCTGTACTTCGGTACCAAGTCGGTACTAAAAAAGTTACGGTACCAGCTTTTCTAGGTACCGAATACCAGGTTCATCCAGTTCTAGATGCGCTGTCTGAAAGGTGCACAGTTGCGTCCTCTTCATAACGCTGATATGCTCTCTCTCTGAATCCACTTGTTGAAACGAAAGGAGGAAAGAGCCACATATGGAAATATTTTGGATTAGGCTAATGTCACGTTGCCATAAGAGGCCGATTACATGCAAATTCGCAATTTCAAATATAGGCGCGAGGCAAGCGCGCTCATAATAAAAACTCGTTGCATAGCAACGACAGATGCCGCGTGAGAGCAAGCGCTTTGGAAAGAATAAGCACGCGCAAAAATATAATAAAAAACATGCGCGATATGTGAACGGCCTCTAAAGTGCTTTCGTTAGTTTTTAAACTAACTTTCGGTAGTTTTACGAGTACAAGAGCACAGTAGTATCCACCCGACACCAAAGTGGTATTAGTATCGATGCATCCCTATTTATGTCATTTAATGTCAGTGCCAGTTCTAGGCGTATTCTTGCCTTTATTACTCAGCAGGTTTAAAAAGACTTTTTAAAATTAAATATGAATACAGTTTTAGATTAAATAAAAGTACAGTCAAGTCAAATAAAACATGTTTTATCTCCTGTATAGTTTGGTAATGCTACAATAAGATACCATTCATCAACATTACTTAGTTCACATCAACACATTGAGTGAACAATATATTTTTACAACATTAATTTATGTTTTTAAATGTTATTTAATACAAACACTTGATTGTTCATGTTTGTTCTTCATTCATTGTGCATTAAATAAATGTTAATGGATTAAGACTTTACAAACAACTTTAAAAATGTGTTAGTGTATACTATTGTTTATTTTAGGTCATTTTATCTAATCTTTTTCTAAAGTGTTTATAATACAAATGTACAGTTCCCATACTTGTAACCGTGATAAACACTTAAATATATGTAAATTTAAACTAAGCTTTGGTACCGAAATTGGTACCGAGAACCGTGAATTTTTACTGGTATTGGTACCGAATACTAAAATTTTGGTACCGTGACAACACTAGGATGAACGCGTTCACACTAACGTTCATCAGGAAGTAATACAGTACGTTCAGTTCACGTTCGCCCAAAATATGAACGCTTTCATGAACTATCGTTAATGTGTCATCGCAACGAACTAAACGTTATCATTTGCATGTCTTTTTAAGTCTTGCGATTTTTAACCCATTCCAATTTAAAGCAAACTCATTGTCTTTACTAATAGACATACTTAAAATTTCAGAATTACTTTATTTTTTTAAAATGTATGTAAATTGACCATAGCCGTTAGTGGGGACTTAACAAGAATGTTCTTATCTGTTTATAACGAGCTATTTCACTGTTTTTGCAGTTTTGAAATGCGGATCCCATGTGTTTCCCCTGACCAGACCAGTTGCCTTATTGGATCAGAAGCTGTCGGATCTGTCTCCGATTCCTCTGAAGTCCACCCAGAATGCAGCAGTACTGTGAAATAAAGCGATGAGGCTGAGGCTTTAGTCACCGTCTGGAATCCAAAATATACGCCATTATGATCTTCGAATCATAGCAAATGTGGCACACCGAAGAGTCGGCACCCTGTTAATCTCTGACTGACTCAATTATTCTTATTGTAATAAGAAGAAATATTCACCAGGGCCAGTTTTATCCAGGGCGAGCATTCGGGCTGTAATGGCCAATGATGCGTGATCTGAGGACTTCTGTTGAGAGGAGAAACAGGAAAATTAAGCCTCTCCCTCCAATGTTTTTAAGCATCATTTGTCTTGCTCAACAAATAACATCATTGTTCCCAATAGGGAACTTTTGCTCACTTGATTGTTTTGCTTTTTCATATTTGAGCCGGTCACTCTTAGGCAGTTATTTGCCTGTGTTGCCTTTTAGTTCGCCACAGGCACACGGCCCTGGTGTCTTACATCGCAATACAATTATTGCTTGTGATTGTATATTTTCATGTCTTGCCTGCTTGAATACTAGCCCATCCTCCCCAACTTTTGCTGTGTTATTTTTTCCATCAAACAGAACTCTATTCAATAACATTTTTCAAGTGAATCGAGTCTCTTGTGGAAATTTGCGCCATCTCTATAAAGCATCTCCATTTCCAGTCAGACGACGTGGTCTTTTATGCACAGTGCTGCATACAACAATGCAATACATTTCATCCATGTGAGCTAAAAAAAAACACGGGCCTTAACACAAACCACTGTGTTTTGCCAGGTGGGGTGAATTCCTTAATAATTGGAGTATCCCGTTGTCTTTGATTTAGCGTGTCCCATCCTCTTTTCTACTCTCTATGCAACAACAGCAATCCCACGGATGCTCTAGTCCAGGGAAAGACTTCTGGTCCACACATCATCTCTGTGAGCTGTAAACACACCCTGTCATGTTCCACGTCTGGGTCATAATGATGAACATGCTTATCCACCGAAGAGCTGTCATAGGAGTAAACCAATGTCGACGCTTTCCTATTTATAGAACATTGTACAGTCTTACCTTGTGCTCTCTGTGACCCTCCAGTCGTTCTTGTTGTTAAACACCATCCCTTTCACGAGTCCTTGGGTTTTAGAAAAGTTGCCTTGGTTTAATTTTTAAAAATGAATAGACCATATTATTGAGAATTATACTTATTGAAACATGTTAAAATGCACATTGCTAAACGGAAGCCTAATGTATTTAAGGTCTGTGGAATTGTAAATGGTAAGTTCTATTAAATCAATAGATGTGTGTTTGAAAGACTTGCTCTGGAGCCAGACAAAGACTTCACTCTGCGTTCTGTAGGATGTCTGTATTCTCTTAGAAATTCACTCGAGAGGTTATTTTCAAAGGGGTTGGACGCTGAAGAACAGTGTCTTTGTCATATTTGAATTGATGGTTCTGTATCTAATGCCTTTTCTGAAAAGAAGTCATTCAGTATTGCAAATACATAAATATAGATATACCTGGTGCAATAAAGTTGTGACTTTTGTGAAAAGATGCTTTTTGTTTTCTTCAATTTGCGGTGTATGTAGGTTATTTCTTTCTTTCTATAAAGCTATCGTAAAGGCTTCAGAATACTTTGGATATAATGCACAATTTGCATGTAGCACTTTGATGTTTTTTTAACATCTTCCTCTTGACATTTCAATCTGCAGATACTGATAGACTGAAATGGTTTATGAATGTGCCATGTTACATGTATTAAGATTTTTGTAATGATTTATAATGAACATGCTGCTCTGAACAGAGTTATATTCGCTCCAGAAACCATGAACACACAATGTAGCCTGATTGACTAACATTAACCTGATAAGAAATCAGAATCTGTGGCAGAGTATAAACAAAACAAAAAATATGGCTGATAATGATAATAGAGGCTATGTGATTATGACTAGATTCCTGACGGGCACCGTTTGCAAAGTTTGCACTTTAAATTATTTTTTTAGGCTGAAACCACATTGACATTAATTTAAAAAAACAAACAAAAAAAACAATAAGACATTCTTACAAGACAAATTCAATTACATTTTTACTATTGGTAAATGGAAAAAATATTTAATCTGTCCCCACTAGATCAGTTGGGGGTTGAGCTTGTTTCTGGCAGAACTCATAAAATGAAACCGAAAGCGATGCACACACACACACAGATCAGAGCCATGGTTCTGACACAGATTAGCTGAGTCATTTTGTCTGTCGACGCCATTTCAAAAGATATAAAAACGATATCTTCACAGCTAACGGTAAGTTCGTTAAAACGTTTCAAAGCTGTATCCATACTGAGCATTTACTATAAACATGTTTGTCGAGCTTAAACACTTACACGGTCACAGTTTGGTCAAACACACGTTGCTCGATGTTTTAGATAATTGATCGATAGTTCACGGACCCGGTAACATTTATTGGTTGAAAATAGTAATCATAATTATTTTCTTCAAGCAGATATGTATTTAGAGTTCATTAAAGACTTTGATATTTATTAGTCAGACCTAGGACGGGAAAGGGCCCAGTTCAGAAAACTTTAGCCTATGTAAACTGTTTCTTCACATTTTACCCTATCATGTTGTCTAAATTGATCCTAACTGATAGTGCCGTTTTTTGTAATCATTCATGTTCGAAAAATGAATAATAACAAAGCAGTTTTTAGCAGTTCAAACTCCTGTAACTCCCGTGCTATGATTTTCTAACTATCCATAATAGCCAGGCCAGCTGACAGTCTTCCCTGGGCCCGGGACAAGATGATCTAAAAGGGATAGTTCACTTTGAAATTAATTTTTGATATGGTTTATCTTACCTCAAGGGCATCCAAGATGTAGGTGTCTTTGTTTCCACAGCATTTTCAATTTTGACATTTTTTTTTGGTCAAACCGTTGTTGTCTGTCAGTCATATAGCAGGTATAGGTGTCCACCTCAAAGAGCATGCACAGAGAAGTAAAAATTAAACATGATTTAATGACTCGAATGTAAGTACACACTGATGGCATAAGACACGAAACGAGCAGTTTGTGTGAGAAAACGAACAGTATTTATAGTTTTTACAAACAGCCGTCGAACTGATCTGAATCAGAATTCCAACTGAACCGAACTGAACCATCTCCAACATTACGGCGGAAGTAAAGAAAGCTAAACATTTTTACATATATCGAAATCCCGTATATCTAAATATGTTTAGTAAAAGATAAAACTCCCGAAATCTCAGTTAACATTGTGTGACGTAGACGCGCGAGAGATCCCTTCCGGCGTAGTGTTGGAGACGGTTCAGTTCGGTTCAGTTGGACTTCGTTCTGAACTGCCGTTTGGACTTTGAGCTGAGCGGATAAATGCTCCGTGTGGTGCGCGGTTCAAAATTTCCCCCCTTTTGGCGCATAAACATTATAGAAATCTTGATATTGTTTTATCAAGAAAAATGAAATAAAATTATACTTATCGTTTTATTGCTCAGCACTACTCCGTGGTCATGTTATAATATTCATTTGTCTATAAAAACCTTCTAAAAATGGTCTGTTTTATTGGTTGTTTTCTCCCGTCTTCCCCCGTCTTAACTCCCACTTTTCCACAGCTTTACATGCCCATTTCTTAATTTTTTCAACTCTGAGGGGTTTCATGACACTTCTACCTTGTAAATTTACCTTGTATTTACAAATCTAATAAAATCCAATTTCATTTTTAATTCACTTCAGTGTTTCATAATTCAGTTATGCATTGTGTATTTCCTCTGTGTCCACATACAGGTCTGAAATCAAGTTTATGCCTGTAAAATGAGAGCAGAGAGAGGAGGAGGAGAAGAACCGGACCTGTAAAATGAGTGTGTATGAGGAGAGAGAGGAGGAGGTGTCTGTTCACACTCAGAGAGCAGCATCTCCAGTATTCAGTTGTGTGTCCATGAAGAGTAACATCTCCATGTATGAGCCGCCTAAATTCAGTTATGGACCATCTCCAGTATCCAGCTGTGTGTCCATGAAGAGTGACCACTCCATGTATGAGCCGCCTAGATTCAGTTATGGGCCATCTTCAGGATTCAGCTGTGTGTCCATGAAGAGTGACCACTCCATGTATGAGCCGCCTAAATTCAGCGATGGACAATCTTCAGGATTCAGCTGTGTGTCCATGAAGAGTAACAGATCCATGTATGAGCCGCCTAAATTTAGTGATTGGCCATCTTCAGGATTCAGCTGTGTGTCCATGAAGAGTGACCACTCCATGTATGAGCCCCCTAATCTCAGTGATGGACCATCTTCAGGATTCAGCTGTGTGTCCATGAAGAGTAACAGATCCATGTATGAGCCCCCTAATCTCAGTGATGGACCATCTTCAGGATTCAGCTGTGTGTCCATGAAGAGTGACCACTCCATGTATGAGCCGCCTAAATTCAGCGATGGACAATCTTCAGGATTCAGCTGTGTGTCCATGAAGAGTAACAGATCCATGTATGAGCCGCCTAAATTCAGTGATTGGCCATCTTCAGGATTCAGCTGTGTGTCCATGAAGAGTAACAAATCCATGTATGAGCCCCCTAATCTCAGTGATGGACCATCTTCAGGATTCAGCTGTGTGTCCATGAAGAGTAACAGATCCATGTATGAGCCGCCTAAATTCAGTGATTGGCCATCTTCAGGATTCAGCTGTGTGTCCATGAAGAGTAACAAATCCATGTATGAGCCCCCTTATCTCAGTGATGGACCATCTCCAGGATTCAGCTGTGTGTCCATGAAGAGTAACAACTCCATGATGAATCCCCCTTATCTCAGTGATGGACCATCTCCAGGATTCAGCTGTGTGTCCATGAAGAGTAACAACTCCATGTATGAGCCCCCTAATCTCAGTGATGGACCATCTTCAGGATTCAGCTGTGTGTCCATGAAGAGTAACAACTCCATGATGAATCCCCCTTATCTCAGTGATGGACCATCTCCAGGATTCAGCTGTGTGTCCATGAAGAGTAACAACTCCATGATGAATCCCCCTTATCTCAGTGATGGACCATCTCCAGGATTCAGCTGTGTGTCCATGAAGAGTAACAACTCCATGTATGAGCTGCCTAAATTCAGTTATGGGCCATCTGTGACCTCTGACCCTGTGTGAGTATTATGAAGCTGGTGAACAATCTGCTGTAGTGAACATATTGATGGTTTCAAAGCATCTTTACAGGGATAAACAGGAAATAATGAGTCAGTGATGTAAACAGTTCAATTCTACTGTAAAGCCGCTCTAAGAAAATAGTGTAATTATTCAGCTGAAGTCAGTGCTGATTCACTGCTCGCACAGCTCTAAGTGGGACCACGATAAGACTAAATGTATATTATATTCAACAAAAATTAAGAAAAGACAAACGAACATGGAGCACTTATATTTAAGTGGTTCGATCCTTTACTAGTTAAACTCAGGGCCCGTATCCCTAAAGATTCTGAGAATCCTCTCAGAGAGCTCCTAACTTCACCTAAAAATTCCTTGCCAGGAGTTTTAGCTTAGAAGCGATTCCAGAACATTTTCAGTGAACTCTGAGCAAGGAATGGATTGAAAATCCTATCTTAGTGAGGAGGTGTGGTTGACCCCGTTGCTAGGTATGAGTCATCATTTCAAAAGCCGTGATTGGTTGATCCTACAAGTTTGATGAAAATTAACTTTTGGTGATAATGAGCAAAGGATGTACCCTCAAATCAATAAACATAATTATACACTCTAATCATATGCAGACTGTTTGTAAATAATTTTTCACATTCAAGAAAATATCTGGAAAATGAATAGTAAGCTGTATAGGGTTATGGCCTAACATTAGAATCTAAAATTTGTGAAAACCTAAGCTCATTACACCCTGTTCAAATAATGATTCATGTCTTATTTGCTCATATTAATATCCTAGCTGACATATTTTGTACTTTCACTCCCATATGGACCCCATTGAAAACAAGATGGCCTATCTCAAGGGCCTATCATCTCCTTAATTTAGTATAATTGCAACGTTACAATTATGGTGTGGTCTTAACGACGGTAACACGGCTCAGCTTTTATCAATGTCTGTGATTGCTGGCTGGTCTATTTATGAAGGCTTGTTAACAAATATCCTACAAACACAGAAAATGGAGAAAAAGGGAAAAAATAAATTTTGTGCAGCTGCTTAGGGGAACTCCTAAGCCACTAAAAGTCCTCTTCCCTGCTCTTAGCAGATCTCGCCTTAGGAGCCCTTTTAAGTGCTAGGAATCTTGAGGAATGGCTTTTATATTAACTGGGATTTTCGTGTCACTTTTAGGGGAAATTCTAAGAAAACGTCATGACTCTGTGAATTTTCTTAGAATTTGCCCGTTAGGAGCCACTTTTTGAACAAAAATTCTTTAGGGATACAGGCCCAGATGCCTAAGATTCTCTTTACAGTAAGTACTAAAGTATCCACAACAATGACAACATGCACATTATGGCATGTGTGTTCTTATAGGAAAATAAGGGACACTCAAAATATGTGTACTTTACCACACAGTGTACGTCATTTCAGTGACTGCAGTTAAGTACGTGTGTACAAGTTTCTCAGACAAACACATTGTTTTGCTCAACCTATTTTTGTACAATTTAATTCTAAAAATAATACAAATAAATGTAATTGTACACACAAACCATCATTCAAAATTATAACTTTTGTAGCATAATACACTACTGTTCAAAAGTTTGGGGTCCGTAAGAGTTTCTTTTTAAGAAATTAATAATTTTATTCAGCAAGGATGCCTTAAATTAGTCAAAAGTGACAGTGAAGACATTTACTGTATATTAGAGGTTGACCGATTCATCGGTTTTGCCGATATATCAATACCGATAGTTGATTGGTGGAGCTATCGTTATTGGCAAAAATACACACACAATAGTTTTTCCGGGTTGCGTCCTTTGCTGTTTGCGTCCGTTGCTGACTCTTTGGATTTATATGAAATGGTAACACTTTACAATAAGATTCAATTTTTAGCTTTAACTAAGGTAAATACGTGCTTTAGAAGTATTATTCACTGTTTGTTAATTTCAACATTTAGTAATAAATTTTAAATTGAGTTTTAATTTTAATTTGATTTGATTTGATTACCTTAATGTAAGTTACATAAGTTAATGTATTATAAACTAACATGAACGATCAAGGTACAATTGTATTGCTCAAATAATAATGCATGCAGTAAAACTGTATATTGTATATTGCATGCGTAGTTCATGAAGGCTATATTACGTCCTTGTTAACAAATGGGACTTACAAAGTGTCACCTATGAAATTTAAAAATGTTTCTAGCTAAAAAAAACACATATTTGACCTATAATATTTTAATGTTTAAATTATTTTCTGTAGAGTTTATGTAAAAGTTCTGATTTTAATATATTCATTTTTATATATTTATTTAATTTAGCTCATTTCAGTTCAACACTGTTTTACTTGGGGTATTATATGTTGGTTTTTAATCAGTATACATTTTAAAAAATATTGGTTGAATAATCGATTATCGGCATGCATGGTCAAACCTAAATATCGGTATTGGAAAAATCCACTATTGGTCGACCTCTACTGTATATTGTTATAAAAGCTTTATATTTCAGATAAATACTGTGCTTTTGAACTTTCTATTCATCAAAGTATCTGAAAAAAATATACAACTGTTTTCAACATTGATACTAATCAAAAACATTAAAAACCTTTTATAAAGCTACACAACACATTAAATATCATCAACTACTCAAAACAAGGTCATAAAATTTGAAACTGAATGAATGAAAATGCATATTTTTCAATTAAAGAGAACTTAGAGGATTAGTATTGGCTGCTTTTGGTGCTCTAGACTTTATTGGTCATTTTTTGTTTCAAAAATGAGGTCCAAGGTTAAGAATATGCTAGTTACTTAAATATACAAACATATAATCCCAAAAGAGTGATAGATTCTCAGTTTGTTATTTGTATACCTGCGTATACAGGACAAACTGCGTTCTCTATGGCTTTCTTATGTAACGCTTCTTTGATGTCTTAAATACGGGATGATTCCATATTATACAGAATGGTTGGCAAACCCTAATTTCCATCCTTCTTGTTCCAGAATCATCAGCAGGAAGAGAGCAGCATCTCCAGTATCCGTCTGTGTGTCTATTAAGAATAGCAGATCCATGTATGACCCTCCTAATCTCAGTGATGGACCCGCTTTGACCTTTGACCCTGTGTAAGTATGATCATGTAGATAGTAATGTCGGCTTATGTGTGAAAGTCTAAGGAAGCAAATGACAAGGATAAGTGTCTATAGCCGCGTTTCCATTACCCTTCAAATTGCGCAATGAAAATACGCACAATGGAAACACGTCCATTTCACAAAAACTCCAGTTTATCGCCAAAAAGTTTTTACGCTCGCATGAGGAGGTTTTTCAGGCAATTCGAAAAAGAAATATTTTGCAAAACTGCAATGGAAAGGGGTTTTGTGCATTTACAGTCACCTGACTTAGAAGACGCGGTGTGTTTTGGGTCCGTGTCTGCAAACATCTCTGAAATTTATTAAGCTACATAAGACGCTTTTATCCAAAAAAAAGGAACAACGCAATTCGTCACATTTCATTAATAAACAGGTTGGACAGTAATAATAGGGCTAAGATTATCACAAATAAACACACGAATTTTGATGCATATCCAAGTGTGTGTGCGGAGTGTGGACGCACTGCATGGCAGAGAGGCGCCCACACGAACACTTACATTTTCCAGTGGAATCAACAGTGGAAACAACTTAAAATACTCTATCATTTCTGGTCATACAGAATATAATAATAGATTATTCGCAACTACTTTTTATTCGCAATTTTGCGTAATCTCACAATAAAAAGAAAACGTTGTGCTTTTGTAAAATAAAATAAAACAATCAGGCGCGCTTTCATGGTCTCCGTGAACTGAAGTGTGAGAACTGAAACAATATATAGCCTTTGTACACTAAAGCTTTAATTGTCCACTTTAAAACAAACAAATTCGAATCGATAGCTTAATAGCCTACCTTCTAAATGTAATCCGTATGAAATGTGCATTTTCCAGGTTCTAATTTGGCCTTAGAAAACCAGTAAAATCTAAATAATTTTTTAGAGTGAGATGAGACCTGTCAGCAATTCTCATGTCTGCTGTGTGGAGTTATTTTAAACTCAAGGAAGAAAAAAACAAAGCCAAGCTTTTTCAGATATATGTGCAATAACAATTTTTTGGGGAAAAAAAATAACATTACGATGTATAGAAATCAATTTCAATAGTGTTTGTTAACTTTTTTCTTCTAAAGATTGCTGTAGTCTGCTTTGTCCAAAAATCTTAGCCAAGTCTGACTAAACTAAAATACAGACTGTTCATATACCTTACAAGGGGGAGGAGTTACATAGAGGTGTAGACACTTTTAAACAAAGCATGCAAATGAGGCATAGGATTCAGCTGATTACCAGAAATTCCCCAGCCCTGATCTCATCAGCATAGCAGTTATTCAGAGCCTTGAGATGCTAATCCAATCAGCCTGACTAGATTGCTCAAACCTTAACATTATCATACATAGAGACAAAGGGTGGGAGTCTCAGTAATCCGACTCATTTAACTTACAATAGAGAGAACTAGGACTGACAGGAAAGGGCCATTAAGAGTTTCAGTAATCTTACAAATACAGATTGGCTGGATATAATCACCATCCTGACCTTAAATGTACCAATACCAACATAATCTGCTGCAGTTGTCTCTAGTATAAATGCTGCCATTAGTCCTGAAATCACTGTGTGAATGCACTAATTCAGCTCCTCACGAGCACAGCTTTTGTGCTTCTTCTGCTCTGCTACATTTCTAGTGTTAAACAGGCTCTATGCTTCTTTCTGTCATTTCTCTGTTACATGTCCGTTTGCACGGAAATTATTTTTGTCACCTGGGCTAGATGCATTAATATCATATTGAAACAATCCTTTAAATATGTTGGTCATTATCTATCCCAAATGGCGGCAGTATTAATCTTCACTAAGTAGAAACAATATCATTCCTAAAAATAATATTCGGGAAACTCTAAATGGGAAGAAATAATTTGGCTATAATAAATAGAAATTATGTTATATTTAAAGGATTAGTTCACACGCGCCTCACAGAATATAGCAAGGCTAGCATTTGTCCTTAGAAAAGTTACATTTTTGGAATAAGTTTTGAAATAACCTATCGTTTCGCATGATAAGACCCTTATTCATCGTCTGGTGTCGTTTAAAGACATTTGAAGCTGCATCTGAAACAGTTATTAACCGTCTTTTGATACTTGAACCATCCGGTTCCCTTTGAAGTCCATTATATGGAGAAAAATCCTGGAATGTTTTCATCAAAAACCTAAATTTCTTTTCGACTGAGGAAAGAAAGACATGGACATCTTGGATGACATGGGGGTGAGTAAATTATCAGCAAAAGTTTTTTCAAAAGTGAACTAATCCTTTAAAAGGAGCGTCTTTAATAACAACTTCTCTCTAAATGTGGTATGATTTCAAATCAGAAATATTATATATATCATATCAAATATGCACGTTTATGCACATTTAACCAATGAGTCGTTCACGGCCGCATGCACGAGCGCTCTTCACAAAGCACTCGTTAGTATTTTAAAATGAAAGCAGCCTTCTCAGTGATTTTCATAGTTTTAATATATAAGCCAACTGCATTCCAAAAGACATAAATAATGCCTCTGTGAAGCATTTGTAGGAAAATTCCCGCGGGAGAGAACGCGCACTGCAAGAGTAACGTTATAACATCAAGCAAAGCGGCAAAACCTGTTCAATGAAGCCCGCGAATGTCCTTGTAATTCGGTTCAACCCCGAACTTTATGAAATAACGTTACTATGTTTCGGAAGGTTCTAGCGGTGTCGTGTGTGTGTGTGTGTGTGAGTGAGGAAGAGAGAGCGAGAGAGAGAGAGAATAGAAGCAAGCAGATTCAGAACACGGTTTGTTTCTAAAGCACGCGCAGCGTCATCACGCATCTGTGTTTAAAAACTAAGCTCATACTCGATTCTGAAATTCTCTGAATCGATCCAGGATTGTTGAGGAGAGGAGAGAATAAATAACACAATAAACTGTTCTTTTCTGGACGCCAGACCGCGTAGCGTGGCAAGTTGATGCTTTATCTTGCAGACTGCTTTTCTCTCGCGTGTCAAGTGACCAGTGTAATCGCAGCTCTTGCGATTACAAAATCGCGTTTCATCATATCGCGATTTTATCGCAAATGCAATTAATCGTTCAGCCCTAGTCTTAATGTGTTTTCAGTGGTGGGAGAGCTGAGCAGATCAGAGATGTGTCCTGTCAGACCAGCAGATCCTCCTGTCAGAAACACATCAGTCATCATGACACAGAAGCAGCCCTGCAGCTTGATTCTCACCAGCCAGTGCATGATGATCTTCAGAGAGTCAAAGACCGGCACAAAACCAGCATGAAGAACAAGTATGAGAGATTATTTGAGGGAATCAAACTACAAGAGAATCAGACTCTCCTGAACAGGATTTACACACAGCTGTACATCATAGAGGGAGAGAGTGAAGGAGTGAATGAAGAACATGAGGTGCTACAGATGGAGAAAAGTTACAAGAACCTCCAAGACACTCCAATCCACTGCAATGACATCTTTGATCCTTCACCTGAACCAGGATATGAGGAGAAGAGAAGAGAGAAGAAAGACACAATCAAGACTGTTCTTACTAAAGGCATCGCTGGAATCGGGAAAACCGTCTCTGTGCAGAAGTTCATTCTGGACTGGGCCGAGGGAAAAGCCAATCAGGATGTAGATTTCATGTTTGTGCTTCCATTTAGAGAGCTGAACTTGATTAAAGATCATCAGTACAGTCTTCACAGACTTCTGCTGGACTTTCATCCTGAACTTCAAGATCTGGACTCAGAGATGTATGATGAATGTACAGTTGTGTTGATCTTTGATGGTCTGGATGAAAGCAGATTGACACTGATGTTTTCAGACAGTGAGAAAGTTTCTGATGTGACTGAGTCTTCATCTGTGGGTGTGTTGATGTCAAACCTCATGAAAGGAGATCTGCTTCCCTCTTCTCTCATCTGGATCACCACCAGACCAGCAGCAGCCAATCAGATCCCCTCCAAATACATCAACCGTGTGACAGAAATTCAGGGATTCAATGAGCCTCAGAAGGAGGAATATTTCAGGAAGAGAATCAGTGATGAGGATCAAGCCAGCAGAATCATCTCTCACATCAGAAGAGCAAGAAGCCTCCGCATCATGTGTCACATACCCGTCTTCTGCTGGATCTCATCCACTGTGCTTCAAAACATCCTGAAACAAGATCTCAGTGCAGAAATCCCTCAAACTCTGACTGAAATGTACATACACTTCCTCCTCATTCAAACTCATATGAGGAACCAGAAGTATGAAGAGAGAGATCCAGAGAAACTCCTGCAGTCCAACAGAGAAGTGATTGTGAAACTTGCTGAACTGGCTTTCAATCAGCTGATGAAGGGCAATGTGATGTTCTATGAGGAGGACCTGATTGAGAGCGGCATAGACGTCACTGACGCCTCAGTGTATTCTGGGATTTGCACTGAGATCTTTAGGGAGGAATCTGTGATTTATCACAGGAAGGTTTACAGCTTTGTACATCTCAGCTTTCAGGAGTTTTTTGCAGCACTGTATGTGTTTTTCTGCTATTTACACAAAAACAGTGAAGTTCTGAAAATGTTCCTCACAGGAAAGTTCAGAAAACAGTGTGAGAATGTTCCTCTGGATGTGATTCTGAAGGAAGTTATAAATAAAGCCTTGGTGAGTAAAAATGGACACCTGGATCTTTTACTTCGATTCCTTCATGGCATCTCACTGGAGTCCAACCAGAGACTCTTACAGGATGTGCTGATTCACACAGAGAACAACCCAGAGAGCATCAAGAAAATAATCCACAACCTCAAACGAGGTCAAAAAAACAATGTCAGCCCTGAAAGATGGATGAATCTGTCACACTGCTTGATTGAGATGAAGGATCATTCTGTTCTTAAAGAAATGCAGGCATTTTTAAACTCTAAAACAAAAAGAAAAAGTCTTTCTCTTGCACAATGTTCAACTTTGGCAAACATGATCCTGATGTCAGAGGAGGTGATGGATGAGTTTGACCCTAAAAAGTTCAAGATCACATCAACACAAGAGGGTCTAAGGAGACTGTTACCTGCTCTGAGGAACTGCAGAAAAGCTCTGTGAGTGTGAAAATATGAACATAATATCAACTGCATTGAACTATGAACATAATACGCCCATAATGATAGATGAAGTGGTCTTGACACCTGCATGCCTTTTAATCAGATATCCTTTTTTTCAGTTTGGCAGACTGTAATCTCACAGATCAGCACTGTGAAATTGTGTCTTCAGCTCTACAGTCATCAAACTCCTCCCTGAGAGAGCTGGACCTGAGTTACAATGACCTGCAGGATTCAGGAGTGAAGCTGCTCTGTGTTGGACTGAGGAGTCCAAACTGTCAACTCAATGTTCTGAGGTTTGTGTTTCACAATTATTAATTACAGTTTCTCAATTTTTTATATATTTAATTGGAACTTTAAATTCAATCGACAATACTTAAAAACTCGTATGTACCAAGTCCTAAATTTCCACTACAGTTCCTGCTTTACGCTCAGTTTTCAGTTGTATATCAAATAAACAAACACTAAACACAGTTCTCTATCGGGGTTTTTCCTGCATAGAGAATTACGAGATGTCCGCCTCCGTCAAATTTCATGCTGCCTCCGGCTCTCAACAAAACTCGGACAGACAGTCATGTGCTCAGATACACTTTTTCCACTGTCAGGGCTCTGTTGCGGGTTCCCGACCTGTGTTCATTCTCAAACCGTATAGTTTGCCGATAGTGCTGTGCGGATCATAATCCGCTGGTCAGGCGGGCCAAGTAATAAAAACATAACATTCCAAGTAATCGAGGGTGGATGACAGATAAATCATTATAATGTGTTGAGTTTATTTAACCCTCTGAGACCTAAGGGTATTTTTACAAAAAAAATTCCGTCTGGTGTCATTTACTAAAAAAGCTTGTAAAATATCAACCCTTTGGTGCACAGACAATTGACACACCTCTTTTTTTTTCAGGACAAATTGAACTTTCAGCATATTTGTGTTACATTGATGTCACCTGAATGTAAAATAAGTTATGGGACCATAAAGACAAATGAAAAAATAAATCGGAAATGAAATCACTCAAATATTTATTGAAATCACACACAAATAAATAAAAGCTAAGCAATTTTCCTCTGGAAAATGGTTTGTTCATGTCTTTGGAGTCCTGGAGCACAGGAATAAACATTATAACTTGTACAGAACAAAAACTATTGACATTTTTCCAAAAGAAGTCCAGGCGTTTGGGGCCTCATGAAATTCACTGGTGCCAAACTTCAAAACAGTTCCTATCAGCAATCACACAGAGGGCCACATCACAGGTTTTGCATTTCTATTTTATTTATTCTTTTATTTATTATTTTCTTTTTATTCTTTTATAATACATTTATACTACTATAATAATTTTTTACAGTAAATAAATAAATGGCACTTCAGCTGGGTCTATCCTGGTAATCTAGTTCCGCATCTGTCAAAAAGCTCTGTTCTCCTGAAAATCCATCATCCTGCAATGCACCAAAATAGACCAGCGCTTTATTTACGTCCATTTCGCTGTGTTTCTCTGTGAATCGCGCTTCTCTGTGCGTCTTTATCTCTCTCCACTATATCAGCGCTTGGTTCATGCGTAATGACGCACACCAATGTTTACGACGGATCAGCCTGTAATTGGTCAAAAACCATCACGTGAAAACATCACGTGATATCCAGAATGGCCACTAGCGTCGAGCTAGCGGCAAAAATGACCGAATATTTATGAATTATGGATTCAAGATTATCAAAGTTTGACATAAAGCGTTTGGATTTATTGCTGAAAACCTCTGAAAGGAAGCACAAGTTCCAGGCTGGATAGAAAACCTTCTGTAAAGGCTAGAAAGACCCGAAAGACACCCCCGTGATGGCTAGCTCGTTAGCTTTCTGCTGGAAAAAACGGTAAGAAAATCGATAAATCTGTCATCGAGTTATGTAAACATTTATCGGAGGTGACGTGTGGCATCGTCGACGATGCCGTCGGGCTAAGGGGGTTAAGACATTAGACTCTCATCACGGTAAAATGCAATGAACGTGCGTCACTCTTTTACTTTAATTTAAAAAAAAAAATTATTTTCAGAGAAAACCAATCAAGGAAAATATATCAGGGCTTGACATTAACACTGGTCCTGGGACACATGTGTTTTTTTGAAGAGACAAGTGTAAGAGAATTGTACTTGCCCAACTTGACAAATGTCCTGATTAAAACAATTTTGAATGTAAAACAAATAAAATAAAAAATAACTAGGGAGTCAGAGAAAATGAGAGGATGATTCTGATTTTTTTTCATTTAATCTAAGTTGCGATTGATAGCCTAGTTGATAATGTAAGACCTGCTAAATTGATCCAATGGCGGTATTCGATTAGAGGTGAAGGTCTCACGCGTGTTCCGTCTTTCCCATGGCAAAGGGATTTTTAATTAAATGCAATATATTTTATCTTATGTATTAACTTGTTTCATCTGACTCCATAAATGAAAAGGTTTTTCAATGATATCTGTGCATCATTAAATATACGTAAATGTTTTACTATTCATTTTAACTCTAATGAAAATAAAGTCAAAGTCTGTTAGAATAATCAAATATAACAATTTATTATGTCAAGTAAATGTATTATTACAATTTCATAATCAATTGGAAGATAATCAATGCAAACCATCAAATTTTCTAGAACAAAGAGGAAAATCCTTTAGCCGACATTATGAACTACATGAACGCTGAGTCTCAGCGACACCGCATTCACAAGCTGATCTGATGCAGAAAAAACAGCTCTGAGCTCTCGTTGCATTTTCCTTATATAGCCAGACCTTATTTGATATGTAAAACATGAGTTTAGTGGAAATTTACTGTATTCCCCCTCCATACTTACGGGGGGTAGAAGTTTGACCAATTGTTAGGAACAGTGGAAATTAGCATTCAGACAAATGATCAGAAGGTGTTAACTCAAAGACACACCCTTCTGTGTGCAAGATATTTCTATATTTTTAAGAACTTTATTACCTTTTGCTTTACTTCTTTGGGAGTGAGACATTTGTACCAATTACCATGAGACCTTTATAATGATACTAAATACAATCCTTAAATATAATCATTCAAGTTTAGTTTTCTCAACTCTGCTGTACCGAACCATGAATTCTAAACCGTCAGTCAAATACACTGTTATTTTATATTTGATTACTTTATTACATTTCTGTACCTGAAAACTAATGTTAGGCCTAATCGAAAAACCTGAAAAGCACTGTTCATTTTATTCTTATTTTATTTATTTTTATTTGACTGTATTTGACTGTATCGATTATTCCAGTAGTCCACAGCATATACCAAAACCGTCAATCTAAAACCGTGATATAAACCAAACCGTTACACCCCTAATGCATACAGTGCCATAAAAACATCAGTCTGTAGTAATATTGTTTCTGTAATGATTTGTTTCTCATTTCTCCCGTTTAGGTTGGCACACTGTAAGCTCAGCAATCAGTGCTGTGAAACCGTGTCTTCAGTTCTACAGTCTTCAAACTCCTCCCTGAGAGAGCTGGACCTGAGTAACAATGACCTGCAGGATTCAGTGAAGCTGCTCTGTGCCGTACTGAAGAGTCTAAACTGTCAACTCAACATACTGAGGTACTTACAAGGACATATCTTGGCAAACCTATTCTGAAATGCTTTATTTTTCACATCAATTTATACTGCAAATGCCATAGTGCATATGTAATTAAAGGCCTTTCTGTGTGGAGTTTGTATTTTCTCTGTGTTGGTGTGGGTTTCCTCCTTGCACTCAGGTTTTCTCCACAATCCAATAAGTGAATTGGAGAGACTAAATTGTCCATAGGTGTGTGTCTTTGTGTAAGCCCTGTGGTGAACTGGCCATTTGTCCAGGGTGTCCCTTGTTTGTGGCCTGAGATGGTCCCCATCAAACCTGACAGAGCATTAGAAGACCTGCAAAGAAGAATGGGAGAAAATCAACAAATCCAGATGTGCAAATCTTGTGGCATCATATCCAAAAATGACTTTAAACTGCAATCTGCTCCAGATTATGTGCTTTAAATAAGTACTGAGTTAAGGCTTTGTGTACATAAGCAAAGTAAATATATCAGTATCACAAATCTTTTTTTTTTTTTTTTTTTTTTGCTTTTTCCTTTGTTATATAGTGCAAATTGATGTAAAAAAATACTTAACACTACAGCCAGCATAAGGTTGCAACATGACATAAAAATCCATACAGTACCATAAAATAAACAGTCTGTATTAATAATATTGTTTTTGTAATGATTTGTTTCTCATTTCTCTCATTTAGGTTGGCACACTGTAAGCTCAGCAATCAGTGCTGTGAAACCGTGTCTTCAGTTCTACAGTCTTCAAACTCCTCCCTGAGAGAGCTGGACCTGAGTAACAATGACCTGCTGGATTCAGGAGTGAAGCTGCTCTGTGCCGGACTGAAGAATCTAAACTGTCAACTCAACATACTGAGGTACTTGAGGCTCTATGAAAAATAACCACACAAGGACATATCGTGGCAAACTTATTCTGAAATGCTTTATTTTTTCACATCAATTTATACTGCAAATGCCATAGTGCATATGTAAATAATGCCTTTCTGAATGGAGTTTACATTTTCTCTCTGTGTTGGTGTGGGTTTCCTCCTTGCACTCAGGTTTTCTCCACAATCCAATAAAGCCCCTTTTCCACCAAAGCATTTTGAGGGCCGGTTCGGAGCCGGTGCCTGCGCGCGAACCAGTTCTTTGTGTTTCGACAGCCAAAGAACCGGTTCGCGGCCGGGAAAACTGGTTCCAAAGCGGCACCAACTCTTTGCTGGATTCTAGTCCAGCAAAGAGTTGGTGCCGCTTTGGAACCAGTTCTTTTAGCACGTCATGTTTACGCCGGGGATGGGGCGGGTTTAGATGTGCTCTAAACATCTTTTCTGACCATCGCAAAGCCAGGAGAAACTGCAGAAACATGCAAGCATTTTTATTTATTTATTTATTTTTTATTTGAAACATAAGCGAAGAAGAAAACTGTCACGATATAGAACAAATAAATGGAAAGAAAAAAGACACAAGACAGGGGTACATAACTTATCAGAAAAGACAACATATCAAACGAAAAGATTAAAAGACTTACATATTTCAATTGTTTTTAAAGTTTTCTTGGTACACGAGTTAGAGATAATCCCAAAGCAATGTACTTGCAAGTGTTTCTAGCGACGTGCACAGTGTCGTAATGACATCGTTCCCTGGGTGCTCTAGTCAGTGGAAAAACAAACAGGTTCTGAACGGGTTCGCAAGTTAAACCAACTCCGAACCAACTTTGAACCAGCACCAGTTCCGAACCAGTTCTTTTTTCGGTGGAAAAGGGGTATAAGTGAATTGGAGAGACTAAATTGTACATAGGTGTGAATATATCGTCGCTGCCCGATAAACTCACGTATGTCCAAAACGGTTACTTATCAGGAAGTGAAAAAAACACGTAATTTCAAAAGCAGCTGAACGTAGCGTTGTCATGGACACACGTGCATATTGTACAGTAACGATGATCGATACGCGTTCTTCCAATCATTAATTAGAATGACCAAAGATCACGTTTCATATTGACAGATGAGTAGGCTACGCCCAGTTTATCAAATACGCTCAGTTTATTAAATGTCTCTTGCAAACTATGAAGAGACAATGAATCAATACACTGACATGGCGATGCTAGACTGATACTTTGTTTACACAATCCTACTGTCATTTTGTCACTCCTCTCCACTATGTCTGGCATCAGGGGGGAAACTTTTAACTCGATAAAGTTAGGCCTACTGTAAAGGAAAGTCTTGAACAGTTGTCAAAAACAAATGTTTGATAATACTTTACCTCACAGTTTTATTCGGAAATCTAATGCTGAGCTTTCAGCTTTCAGACCCCATTTACACCTGGTATTAAAATGAGATCTGTATCCAGATAAGTTATCCGGATAATAAGTGTTCTGACCGATTCCATTTACACCTGGCCACATAAATGTGTTTTTGCAGAACGGATATAATATAAATCCGATCTTCAGCTCCCGCGTTATATGCAGACAGGCCCGGTTCTAGAACCAAATCACTGAGGGTGCTTTTGAAAATAGTGAGGGTGCTCAAATGTTAAACAATATGCGATATCCATGATCGAGTAGCCTATGTCCCTGTATGAGTTTTTATCCTTTACATATCATTTCATAGTTAAGAAATTACACATAGTGCTTTATCCCCAAATAACAGCAGTAGCCTATATACAAATTGAATTATTGAAACTGATTTTATTCTGCAGTTGAATAAATAAGTTAATATAAGTAACATACATTTTAGACATTTAGGTTCTGACGACAATGAATCAGTCCTTTTAAACGAAACAGCTGATTTAAAGATTAAATGCTGGTCACTCTATGTCGATCCCCACCAGATTTTGTCATGAGTAATTTTGTACCCACCACTTTTGGAAATATTGAGGAACAGATTTACTTACTACAGATAAAACATCTCCAGTTAACTAGCAGAGCATTCATTTAGTTCGCTCTTAATTAAGAGATCTAGCTAGTGGTTAAATTTGATGTTTTTGACATCAAGCTGAGCACTATTTGCCACTGCGGTCAGTTTCATGGATACAGTTCTCTTGTGTCTCGCGCAATCTTCACTCGGAATCGGAATCGCGTTAATGGATTTAGTTTTTGTAACCTATATTTGTGTAACCTATTATTTGGGTGTGAAATCCGTCTGTGTTTCTTTTGTCGGGAAATCTCGTTTACATGTGTGCTAATAAAAAATTAATCTGAGGGTGCTTTCACTTTTGTTTGAGGGTGCTTAGCACCCTCAAGCACCCCCGTAGAACCGGGCCTGTATGCAGATTTAATGGATTGCATGCCACCAAAAGCAACAGATATGAGCTGCATTTTATTGATCAAATTCAAAAACAAAGACATCAATAAGAGAGTGGCAACAGCCCTGGTAAGATCATTTCATTTCTTTACTTGAAGATGATTGTGTGTTAAGCGTCTGTGACTTACTTTCACTTTTATTTGCGATGTTTGCTAGCCTGACTACGTCAGACTTCCTACTTCCGCTAATTTCATTTCGCTCCTGTAGTCAGTCTGAGATAGCGGCCTATCTTTCAGTTTTCCACTGGCCTGAAAACAGCCGGCCAATCAACGAACAGAGGGCGGGCTGAGAGCCGTGACGTAGACGCGAAGCGCCGAGTTTACATTGTAGGTTAGAGCAATCGAAAACCGAAACGACCGCAGAAATGGGAAATAAGACACGGGATGCAATTCGCTCTGTTATGGAGAACATTCTGGGGTTTTTCAAACTGAAGCAAAAGTTGTTTACAGCCATGTTCACTCCGGTATTTCGCTCGCATCATCAGTGTTTACAGCTAGGACCGGCGCGTGCACTTCTGCCGCTCTAGGCGAAAAACAATTTTGCTGCCCCTCTATTTGCAACGTATACCAGCAAAAACCAGCATGCTTGGCCATTATGTAGCTTGCACAACGCGCATACACTTTTGAATCTCTCATCAACACAGATGCAGCCGTTTTTATTTTTGCAAATCATTATAACACTTCAAGCTTAGGCATTTAGGAAAAATATTAACACTTCAAGCTTAGTGTCACGGTGTGGTTCAGGCAGAGGAACGAGGAGTCCGGAATATTGGCAAAGAACAGATTTAATATATATAAACAGGCAGGAAGACAGGAACACGGGCACCACACGGTTAACAATAGACATCAATAGACATCGACCGACAATGACAGAGTAAAACTGAGGGAACTAAATACACAGATGAATCAAACATAATGGGGTGAAAACAGGTGAAACAGATGATCAAGACGAGGAACAGGTGGCTGATGAGGGAGTGAACACTGGATAGGGTGACGAGGGAAGTGTAGTGCTGAAGACAAGACAGACTGGTGCAGACGGAGGACTGTGACACTGAGGCATTTAGCCTACCCAATTTTTTCAGGCTAATTGTAGTAATGACGGATCAGACCTGTTTGGCCATAACTATATGCATAACTATAAGGACATAACTTACCCCCATTCAACGTCAGTTCTCCGTCTTTTACGGCCACGACAAGAGAGTCGGTCTCCTCGGCTGTGAACGCTCCTGGTGCGCTCTTATTATCATATTATTATTATCATAATAATAATCCACCATATTTCGTTTACGACATCCTGCTGCATTAGTCCCAGATATGTTATGATCTGTTCATTGTGTATGTCACGTGACAAATGAACGTAAGACTCGGAAGGTAAAGTGATTATTTATGTTCCCTGTAAATCATTTTTACTGCATTATGATTTCTTAATTCAGAATATGATCAACATTGCGTAGGTGGATGTAATCGGGGAATTTGGATGTTAAAATTATAACATTAAGCCACTTATAAACGAAATTACTCGAATGACTCAGAAAATCAGTAAAATGAACTTCCTATTCATGACTCGCGAGAGCAGCGGTTCGGTCTCGCCCGATCGCGGGGCGGCGGAAGCTAAATCATTCATGACTCGTGAGAGCTGGGGCACGCCGACGTTGCGGGGCGGCCGCAACTCAGTAATTCATATAAATAACCTAGTTTGTGAATTGTTCATTCCCGGTTGGCACAGATTTTGCAGCCCTTACAAAAGCGCCGCTCCCTGTTTACAGTGAAAGTTTGATCATAGATTTGAGTTCGATGCATAATGTCTCAATGTGTCCGTGTCGGCGCATAACATATGTCATAAATAAACTTGGCTGATTGGCTTACGGGTAACCAATGATTTTAAACTCCAGAGAAGCGCCCCCTTGCGAGAGAGAAAACACTTCTCTATTATGCCATTCCAGACTCTGTCTACGAAGCAAAGTGAAGTAGCAGAGTCTGGTATTACCAGGCTAGATGTTTGCACGTTGGCTTGATGAATAGATGCTCAGCTACTCATCTGCGGTGATGCATGTCACAGTAGCGCCGTCATATCTGACTATAACATGTCATATAGCCTATATAACACGCTCTCACTCGTTTATTTTTTAGCTTTCTTGGAAGGAGTAAAATATACATATGTGGTTTCAACAACCAGATTGCGTTTACACCTAGTAAAGATCCGAACACAATGCGAGCCAGACTACCTCCAGATGTGGTCAGGCAGATCCGATCACAGTCCGATCACAACGTACTTACTCCTTGCATTAACATGCGTTATTTATTATCCAGATAACTTATCTGGATACAGCTCGCATTTTAATACCAGGTGTAAATGGGGTCTCAGAGACACTTAAGATGAAACTTCACGAGACCGGCGAGATGCCTCCACAGGGCGAGGAGATACGCTGCGTTATTGACAGCTTTGACAGCAAATGGATATACGTGGAAATCAGATGACATGATTTCACAACTTTTCATTGGTCATTTAGATAATGTGAAGCATGCTGTGTACGGAAATGAACCTGGACATTCTATCCGTCAAAAAATCTCAAAATCGGC